TCAAAGGGACGTATCAGCACGTTCAAATGTAAAATACTGTGGTAGCCACAGCACAGTAATAGCGAATTTGTATTGGATTTAGTTCCAACCTGGATCGGGAATTTAGATTGGATCTGCTTGTTGGCTGTCAAACGCCAATGTTAACACTTATTTTTGTGACCTGGCTCGGGTTGAGGTTCGCACTGACGTTCCGCGAAGCACGATCTGAGAATTCCTGCGTCACTTATTAACTAACTTATACGTTCTAATTACTGTTTGTAGTAGAGCCTGAAAAACGGCAAAGTAGTTTCTGGTCGGGCCTGGGATTGAACCCAGAATCGTTGAGCAGGAACGGGGAAACACTATAGATATTATAGATTCCGTAGATAAGCGGAGGCAAAGTAGAATGTAGCCAAACGAGCATGACGGCATCATGGTGTTTTTTTGCGGGAAAGTATTGCAATATTATGAGTACAAAACGCTTTTCACATTCCACATTCTGATTTATTTCGCGGAAACGGAAGAAGCAAATATCTAGACCAACAATTAAAATAGGCAGAACAACCAAACGTAAACAATGGCTTTAAACGCAAATTCATCGAGAATCAAAGCACATCCAAGCAATCTAACACCATCATCTGATAGAGCAAACATTCTTTATCGAATGGTATTGTTAGTTTGCATGGGAGTGTTTTGATTCTCGAGAATTTTGTGTTTAAAGCCATTATTTACGTTTGGTTGTTCCGCCTATTTCAATTGTTGGTCTAGATATAACGCAAACCACCCATCGATTAATTGTTGCAAAGATTTGTTTTGAACTTCATTTTGAACTGTTTCTCACGAAACAAAACAAAACTGCACAACGAAGAGCTCTATTAAAGCGAGGGGGACGACTCTATCCACGATGCAGAAAAAATTGTGTTATGCTGTGGCTAGCTGCACGCACGCTGAGTAGATAGAAAGAATGATGATTCTGAAGATGATGCGCGATGCAAGTAGATGCGACAAATGAAAGAAGATTTTTCGAAGATTGATTCGCTAGTGTGAGATTTGTTGAGCATCTAAACTTGAGATTTAGATGTGTCGCCCCCCTCGTATTAAAGAGCCTGAATTTATACGATTTTATAAATTCAGGCTCTTTAAAGGTCCGTTTAGACTATCTGATTTCTTAGTCTGATTTTGACCGCCGCCATAATGAAAAATCTGCTCGATTTTACTTTCGACACACTTTGTCGAACCCCTCTGTTTGCTGGTGTTCACACTGCTTGATATCGGAAGAATTGTCAATTTAGATTTCAAAACAAAATTGTATCCGGAATCAAAAGTAAATGCTTCCATGATGAATTTCCGGAAAATTGCTCTTGGCAGGCGTATTTGCTTTTATTATTTTAAATAAAATGAGGACGAGAGGGTGAACTTTGTGGAGTAGGAAATGGTTGCTCAAAGGGAACACCAGCAGGGATCTGGCTCATCTTGTCCTTCAAAAACTGCGATATTAAGACGAAAAAGGATTTCTTAACTTCACCAGGATGTCGATACTAACTTTCGACAAGCTAGTTGGAAAAATTCTCTATAGATCTACATGATTCCTTGAGGTTTGGAAATTTCTGTTAATATCTAAATTCTGCATATTTCTCTGAAGACTTTCGGACGTCTCTGAAGTTTTATTTCTGTTCTCTGGTAAAATATCTTTGAAGATCTGCAAATTTCTCTGTAAAAATTTACAAAGTTTCTGAATCCATGTAGATTTAATATCCTTAAATATCAACAATTATCTCTGATTTTCACTAAATCTCTAATAATCTACGAACTTCTCGAAAGTTATATAATTTTTCCTGTATCATGATTGAATTAATATCTGCAAATATCTCTGAACATCTACGCAATTTCCTTAAGTATAAAAAATTATCTAGAAATTTTTGAGCTTCCCGAAAATTAAAGGAAGTTCTCTGAAGATCTACTATTTTTTCTGAAGTTATGCAAATATCTATAAAGATCAGCGAACTTCCTAGAAGTTCTGTAAATTTTACTTAAAATCCAAGAACCTCAATAAAATTCTACAGATTTTTCAGTAGATCTTCCCTAAAGTTCCGTACATTTCTTTGTGGATTCTTGGACTTCCATAAAGTTCTGCAGATTTATCTGAAAGTCTTTTAAATTCCTTAAAGCTCTACAAATTATCTGAAAATATTTGAATTTCTTTGTGTAAATACTTCTAAAGATCGCCGCACTTTCCAGAAATTTTGTGAGTTTTGCTGAAGTTTTGCAATTTTTTCTAAAAATGTACGAACTTCCTGAAGTTCTACAGACTCCTCTTAAGACCTACGGACTTTTCTGATGTTCTTCAGATCTATCTATTTCCAACTTCCATGGAGGTCTGCAAAATTTTGGACTTGCGTACTTCGATGAGATTTGTTTTTGGAATTGAACTACTTTTCTAAAACACTGAATAACTGAATGTCTCTGAAGATCTGCAAATTTTCTCAATATATTTAAACCTCTGTAAAGTTGTCTGAAGCCCTGTAGTTTTATTCTCAAGATCTACGAATTACCTTGAGGCTCAATAAATTTTTCAGTAGATCTAAAAACTTGTCTGAAGTTTTGTAAATTCCTCTGTAGGCTCTCGGGCTACCCTGAACATCTGAAAATGTCCCTGCAGATCTTCTAAATTACCTAAAGTTCTCAAAATTTATCTGAAAATAGTTGAGTTTCCTTGAAGTTTTAAATGTTTCTCTCAAGAACTACAAATTTCCCTGAAATCGTATAAATATTTTTTTTTAAACCGCTGAACTTCCCTGAAGTTCTGCAAGTTTCACTGAAGATACATTAAATGTTCCGACATTTTAAAAATGCATCAGAAAAGCTGCACTTTTTCTTGAAGATCTAAAAATTTATCTGAGAATCTATGACCATTCTTGTGATTTTCCCAAAGTTCTGTAGCTTTGATCTAAAAATCTAGGAACTTTTCTGATGTGCAATAATTTTTCAGTAGAATATTCTGTAAAATTCTTTACATTTCACTGTAGATTCTTGGACTTTTCTGATGGTCTCGAAGTCCTGAATATATACCAAAATTTCCCTTATAGTTTAACAAATTGATCTGAACATATTTAATTTATTTGTGTTTTTTTTCTGAAAATCTGCAAATTTTTAAAATAAATCTGTAAAATTTTCCGAAGTTTTGTTGTTCTGTTCTCAAGATCTACGAACTACCCTGAAGCTCAACAAATTTCTCAGTAGATCTCCAAATCTCTCTGAAGCTCTAACAAATTCTTAGAAGGCTCTCAGACCTGCTGTCTGGCAAATTATACACTTTGAATAGTGAAATCGGTTTACCTTGCTGCTGGATGTCATCAAAACACAAATCAAATCCTTGAAATTTTAGAAGAAAAATATCAATATTTTCATTTCACTTGCGGCTATTTTGCTGAATGAGTCGAATGAAAATTAACCACAAACCTATTACGTTCGACAAATCAAACGTCAAATCTAATCATCATGTCGAAAAACTGTGAACGCTCGAATCAGACCAACAAATCAGATAGTGTCTAAATGTACCTTAAGCTCTATGATGGTCTGAACTAGAAAGGGTTTAGTATAAGAGAGGGGCGAACTGGCTGACTTTGAGCCAAACTATCTGTCAAAGCCAGAGCCAATCGAGCAGCGCCTATCTTGATTGCATACCCTAATAAAAATTGTATGGTTAATTTGCTTAACGACGTGTTCTGGGTATCATCCAAACCATTTGTGGAATAGTTCAATGATTTGGGCTATCGTTCGTTTATGGTTATTTTTATTAGGGTAGGCAGTGTTGCTAGAAATAGCCTAGGCATAGGTTGCTAAGCAGTTTTTTTTAATTCGCTCCTCTCTTATACTAGACCCTCGCTAGTCTGAACATTATTCACGGACAGGCATGGAAAATCATTTACATTCTTTCGTGCATTCATTTACATTCATTTGCCTCTAACTTTTTTCATCAACAGAATTCCCCAAAGTAAAATATTAAGCTGCTGTAGGTTTTGTCAATAGCTAAAACTATTGAGAACATTTAAAATCTGTATCTAATAATGAAACCTACAAAAGCTTCATACATCATTTTTAGGCATTCTGTTGATGAAAAACAGTTAGAGGCAAATGAATGTAAATGAATGCACGAAATGAATGTAAATGATTTTCCATGCCTGTTCACGGATGCCAGAAGATAATTTATTTTTCATGGTTGCCAAAACAACTTTGTGTGCCTCCGATTATCTATGGAACCTATTGTATCTATAGGAAAAACCAGTGGCGTCCTGTAACCTCACTTTTTACGTGAGCACCAACCAGATTTAATGCCATATCCATATTCCGATTCGAGCGGTTGAAAAATACATTTCAAACTGAACATTGCATTAGGTCCTAAGTAACATTAGCAGATTCTCTTCGTCGACTTCAGGGGAAACATGTCAGAAGGGTATAACTCGAAACGTAAACAATGACTTTGAACGTCGATTTCTCTTGAATGACCACACACCCACAGAATCTGACTACACCAGCTCATAGAACAAATATTTCTCTGTCAGACGAATTAGTTAGTTTGAGTGGGTGTGTTGTCATTAGTAAGAAACCGACGATCCAAGTCATTGTTACGTTTCGAGTTAGACCCTTCTGACATGTTTCCCCTGACTTTCTCTTTGTACCCCCACGGCCATGTTAAGACATTCCCAGCTATTTTCAGCTCACAGATCGATAAAAGAAGCTTTTATCTAGTATTTAATACGACAAACACAACAAGAAACGATTATGTGCTCAAGTAATTAACGAAAGAGAAAATCGACGAAGAAATCAATGTTACTTAGGACCTAATGCAATGTTCAGCTTGATTTAATCTTCTAGTTTACTCGATATCTACACATTGCAAGCAATTTTTTGAAATTTTTTTATGTTTTGAGAGTTGGTGCACTGGTAGATTGAGGTTAAGAAAACGCCACTAGGAAAAAACCAATATATTTCTAATGCATTGATTCGTTTCTATCTCCTAGGTGGATGAGGACTACATTCAAGATAAGTTCAATTTGACCGGATTGAACGAGCAGGTGCCGAATTACAGACAGGCTCTTGATATGATATTGGATCTAGAACCCGGTAAGTTTGTTTTTTCTTTGGTTGTGATATTCGCAAACACTGAACTCAATGCAATAAATGTTCAGTTCTGTTTACAATCGTTCAGTTCGGTTGCTATGTGTAGCTTTCCAACGCCTATTTAAAGGATAAAGTTTAAGCGCGAGGTAAATTTCTAAGAACATCTACTAGTGGTTTGTTGTATCGAGCGAGACTGCCTAACAGCTGGCTTCAGTAGAACATTCCCTAAAATTTCTGCGTAGAACCTTTGAAACCTACCACCCGCCTTAATCTTGAGTAATGCTTCAACAATACAAACGAACTGAATCGTAACCCTTAAATTGATTACCATTCTAAAAAATAACCGTATCAGAGGATGAGATAGACGAAAACCCGAACCAGTCTGACCTGATCGAGCAGGCGGCCGAGATGCTGTACGGCTTGATCCACGCTAGGTACATCCTTACCAATCGCGGCATAGCTCAAATGATAGAGAAATATCAAAGCGGTGACTTTGGCCACTGCCCGCGGGTGTACTGCGAGAGCCAACCGATGCTTCCATTAGGTATGTTCCCTTCCGCATGACGGAATGTAGTTCTAGTTCTAAGTCGCAACACAACTCCTCCCACCCCCTCCCCAAACGTAGGTCTATCCGATGTGCCCGGCGAGGCGATGGTGAAAAACTACTGTCCCAAGTGCATCGACGTCTACACACCAAAGTCCTCGAGACATCATCACACGGACGGTGCCTACTTCGGTACCGGTTTCCCGCACATGTTGTTCATGGTACATCCCGAGTATCGCCCGAAACGTCCCGCCAACCAATTCGTGCCGCGGTAAGTCGCTTCTCTGTTGTTATTATGATGGTTCGACAACATTCCCTAACGCGGGTGTTTCTTCTTTCTCTCTCTCTCTCTCAATTCCAGCTTGTACGGCTTCAAAATCCACTCGTTAGCTTATCAAATTCAGCTGCAGGCTGCCGCCAACTTCAAGGCACCGTTGCGAGGGGTAATGAATGGCAATTGAGCCTTATATCTATTGTACCATATATACTATTTAACCGTTTAGTGATTTTTTGTTTCTTGGGGAAAACCGTACCGTTTTGGTTTTGAATGTGGACAAAGTTTCTTGGTGATACAAAAAAAAAATAAGCACGAGTTGGACTTGGCTGCCATCAAATTCTTCCAAAAGGAAAAGCAAAAATGAGAACCTCTCACTCTGATTGGTTACTCGCGCCTCACCTGGTTGTAGTTTTTTCCACGACGATCAACCGCGCCGGAAATGATTATCGTTGAAACAACACATATAACCTATGTGGAAATAAAAAATAATGTTTCGGCTAAATAACAATCGGCAAGCATTTCATTTATTGGCCATATTTTTTTTTTTTTCAAATTTTACCCTTTCGTCGATCCTTCCCGCAGCAAGGAGAACCCTTTGGACTGTCTAGGTTGTTTACCGGGAATCTAAACATTACGAAAATATTAATTGAGTTGGCTTACACGCGGGACTGATTGATTCATAATTTTTATTTCTCGCGTCACTTTTCAAAACGTCCTTGACTAGTCAAAACATCCTATGTGTTTTTTTTTTCTTTCTATATTGTACACGGATAGAAATCTCCTTATACCTTTTGGCAAATTTTTATTGCTGATTATTCATAAAATGTATAAGTCAACTAATAAGCTAAGCAGACGCCTTGCAAAAGGTTAATGAAGATCATGTATCAAATGAAATGTATAAGCGGTCACACATAGCTTTTATGCATTCTTATAGGACCTATGTGGTTTGTCTTATGGAATGTATAAGGCTGATGTTTTGACAAAAATGTACAGGTGAAACGCATGAATAAAATAATTGATTTTCATTTCGTGTAGCATGACATTCAAAGTAAACTTCTTCTTCTTATTCGCATTTTAAGCTTATTGCTTAGCGCATATTAGCTTATTGCGTGCTCTCAACTTAGTGTTCTAAATGCACTTCCACAGTTATTAATTGAGAGCTTTCGATGCCAATTACCAACGCATGAATTTGTATATTGTGTGGCAAGCACAATGATACTCTATGCCCAGGGAAGTCGAGAAAATTTCCAACCCGAAAGATTCCCTCGACCGGACCGGGAATCGAACCCGCCGCCTCCGTCTTGGTAATACCGTGCCTTTACTGACTAGGCTATGAGGCCCCATTAACATTCAAAGTAAAACCAACAGTAAAACTGTGATTTGACCGTTTCTACTGAATTTTCAACGTTATTATTCACTGACTACATAATAAATAGTATTGCAAAATGTATTGTTTCTAAACAATTTAAATAATAATCTGTCGAACTTCAACTTCGATTTTTTCAAAATGGGAGATATGTTACATTGGTCTATTTGAATAGTGACGCGAGATTTGATCACCCTCAATTGTGTGATGACTGTACCAACGTATGTTATGGAAAACCTAATCGTAAAGATTGTTGTTTCTATCAACTTTAAAACTGTCTCCTGTAGTTTTGCTACTGAAAATCACTTCTAAATTTATACGTGCTAATGAGCAGTTCCGGTTTTTGCTAAATATTAAAATTCGGGATCCTTTTTTTTGTATTATCACCGGGAAAACCAGAAAAAACGGGGAATTTAAACATTATAATTCGCAGGACACCCTGTATAATATTTTGTTGACCTTGTAGAACTTCAAGATTCAAACTCCAGGATGATTTGAAGAACTGCAGAAAACTCATTGATTTGATGTGAATTAATTCAAAGTGTTTTTTCGTTACTTGAAGTTTACGATTTTCGGAGTTGGTTGGAAATGCTATACTAATATCAACATGTAGCTTTAGTATGATAATTTATTAATTAGAGAAAGTTCCGAAGAGGATAGGTTGAGGTTCCGCTAGGGTACTAATCAAACGTCCATTAATGTATGTGTTAGGTAGAGGAGTGTGCGTTTGGCTAGTTACTGTCGCATTAATGACCCTTCGCTCAATTCCAACTCCTATTCAATTTTCACAATGTCGTACACTTCAAAAAATCTTCACGTTGATGCTACGTGAAAAATCACGTAACCCCTTATACCTATAGTCGCTATATACATAGTCTGGCGGATAGAATTTCGATCTATCAAAAAGCGGAACCAATTCAACATATTTTAGACCAACAATTGAAAAGGTACTATCAACTTTTATAAACAAAACGTAAATTATTTTTTCCTCGCCAATCTAATGCAAATTCCCGTCATCATCGGATAAGAGAAACTCTCCCCAACCCAAAGATGGTGTTAGTTTGCGTAGGTGAGCCTTGAGTCACGAGAAAAGGGTTTCCGATGTTTTGTTCGCAATAGCTGATTGCTCTTTTCTGTTGTTGGTCGTGATTTGCTCGATTGGTTCCGCTATTTGACAGATCAATTGGTTCCCGAGATCCGCCAGACTATGAATAGAGCGACTATACTTATACCCCGTTCGCATTACAGCCTATATCACGTAATATAGGCTGTCTTGCAGTGAGCACTCATACATCTAGTTTTCACTGGAAATCCTATGTATGAGTGCTCATTGCAACTGCAAGACAGCCTATATTACGTGATATAGGCTGTAATGTGAACGGGGTACTAAACACCCCACTTCAATCATTTTCACGTGCCGCAGATCAATGTCAAGTGGAATTTTGATATAATTAACGTGATTTTCATGTCGATTGATACTACGAGAATTTCACGTAAAAAATATGTGATCAGCATGTACACTCTACAAAGTATACACGTTCAACCTACGTGAAAAATGGAGTAGCCATTTCGATTACACTGGAGTCGCTTTTTACGCGGTTTTTTTTTACACGGTTTTTTTTTACGCGGTTTTTTTTTACGCGGTTTTTTTTTACGCGGATTCCGGAATTTACGCGGTTTTTTTTTACGCGGATTTTGGTTTTTTTTTACGCGGATTTCAGAATTTACGCGGTATATCGCTTTTAACGCGTTTTTTTCTTACACGGTCTTTTTTTACTCGGTTTTTTTTACGCGGATTTCGGAATTTACGCGGTTTTTTTTTACGCGGATTCCGGAATTTACGCGGTTTTTTTTTACGCGGTTTTTTTTTACGCGGGACATATCACCCGCGTAAAAAGCGACTCCAGTGTACTTCAAATTCCATTTTACATGATGGTAGTAAAATTGAAAAACATACCAAGTAATGTTCACACTACTATTTTACATCATTCAAAAACCGCACAAATAATTGTATTTATTCAGATTTCAGAGGCTAGAAGCAATATAATAACTCTGAATAAGACAGCGCAAACAGATATTGCATCTGAATGGTCCTGATCAGACATTTGAGGCAACGAAATGTTCAGTGTTAATTTTTTAGAGCAATTCAGAAATGCTTGACGTTTCATTAAAAAAAATCTAAAAATGTTTAAATATGGGAAAAGTTGGCTTCGGCGACGTCCTTGAGAGCTCAATTTTGGCATGTGGATGTATTGTGTTTCAGAGCAACTATTGGCCAAATTTGACTGCTCTAGGACTTTGTTTACCTACCCCCTGACGATAATAGGTTAAGGTATTGCCGAAGCCAACTTTTCCCCTATTATTTTCTTGCTATTTTTTAGATCCTGTAAACGTTGCTCCAAGATCACGTAAACATTACGTGAAAATCCATTTCAATATTAGTCAAAATCACGGAACGTAAACGTGATATAAACATATTTTTTTCCGTAAATATCATTTCAAAATCACGTAAACATTGCGTGAAAATATATTCCAAGTTAAGGGGGTATTCCCAATCTTTTGCCTTTTTTCGGCCTGTTTTTCAATTAATTTTTTTTCAAGGAAAATGAATAGTAATGCGCCTAACTCTTTGGGATTCTTGTTTATTGAACATTAAAGTTTACAAATAATTTTTTTTCGACATAAAAAAAGACATTATTGACGTCACAAAATGGCGGCAAACAGACCCCTGTTCGCCGCAAACGCCTGGACGGGCGAAGACTTTTCTCTGGAACGGCTTCATCTGAAACAGATTTCGTGATGAAATTATAATCTGCATAAGATTCTCTGGAGCTTCTCCCGTTGGCAGCAAAAAATCTTGCAAATTAACAAAATGGCGGCCATATGAAAAAACAGGCGATTTTTAGCCCGCTTTTTTGCAGCTTTAAGGTGCTTCAAACAATGTTAAATGTTAATATTTTTGGCTGAAAGTGGGAGAAGCTCCAAAGAATTTAATAAGGAACAAAATGCGCAAAGATTCAAGTCAATATCTCTTATAGTTTCTGAGAAAAATCTTCGCCCGATAAAAAAAATGTGGTTTCGAGAAAAACGCGTTTAAAGTTTTGACTTTAGTTAAAACCATTTGGGGGTTCTTACCATTAGTCAGCTATGCCTGGACACCGAATTCGCTGATCGGAAAACGGCTTGGGGGGATGAAAGTATATAGTCTAAAGTACAAAAAAACGTGAAAAAAAAAAATTTGATTTTTTGAAAAAAAAGATCGGGAATACCCCCTTAAGTGGAAATCACGTAAAATTTACGGTACTGTTCAAGTTGACCACTAAATGGGAATATTTTTTGACTACGTAACGTAACGTAAATGTTACGTGAAAAGTAGTATGGACGAAAGCTACCTATGTTTTCACGTAGATCGGACGTGCATATTTTTTGGAGAGTACTCTAGCGGAACTATCAACCTATCCTCTCTTCAGAAGTTTCTCTAGTTAATAAATTATCACACTAAAGCTTCATGTTGATATTGGTATAGCATTTTCAACCAACTCTGTGAATTCATAAATTCATGAAATTTTGGAGTTCTAAGTCATCAACGAGTTAATGATAATCCCATATCACATTTTTTTTCTGCAAAGTAGACGTATTGTAGAGCAGTTCTGCCGAAGAAATTTATATGATTATCTGCGACGATGATTATTGGCGTTGACGGCGACTCTGTAACTCTTTACTCCTATGAGAAAATCCATAAGCAAACGTCAGACTGTGCGTGAAACATGGCGGACTTTGTACTATCCTTTCACTCCACC